CAGGTTTGCTGTGGGGATAATCAAAGTGGTCAGACTCTACTTGCAAGTACAAAACCAACTTAACCTCTTTTATCCCATTCCTCTACAAAATTACATATTTGTATATAAAGAAGCAAACATGTATCAATCACAAAATGTAGAAAATATTCAATGATGCTAAGGCCAGGGCAACAGAAGCATACAACAGCAAATAAAATTTTCACAAATTTAAACCTTATATTCTAGAATACACCAACTGTTTTTAGCTTGTAATTCAAAACTCCCCACAATAAATCTAACCTAAAGAAAATGCTTTGTCTATCGCTCTAAAAAGCAACATATATTTCTCTAGAAAGATGAAAGTGAAAATAAGTTTTCAGCACTAATACATGCTTTATTACAAACTAGCTGTACAACCCTAGCTATGTCATTCAATCTCTCTGGACCTCAGTTTTCCCACTGAAAACAGGGATACTAGTGCCTAACACGGGGGTTCCTGTGAATGTTAAAGATAATATAAAGTACCCAGCGGCATGTAGCTGGTACACAGTAGGAACTCAATGACTAGTAGCTACTGCTTGACCAGTATGAGAGGTGTTGGATATCAAGTCAAAAATTCAAAATATCAAGAAGCCTTTCTGTACTTTAATTTCCCCAGGAAAAGACAGAGCATCAAACACAGGAGGCAGGTCTGACAGACTTTGTCTAAGGGAGGCTATCACCATGACGGAAGTGTAGATTCAGACAGCCTCACAAGTATGGACAACCATTGCAATATGGACACGTCCTGCAATAGTGTAACAGTACCTTTGTTTTCAGAAAACACAAGAGTATGTGAAAAATCTATGCATCCTCCTGTTCAACTTTTAGGCAGAGACTGGCCAACTAGGCTGTTTTTCTACTGGTTGGTCTGTGTACTTTCAAGAAGTGGAATTCTGAAAACTTTAAAACAAAAGATTTAATAGTCAAGAGCAGAGAATTTTAAATTCCCTTTGGGTCACTTGGTTCAGCCTCAAAACCTGATGCAAACTCCTAAATCTATATGACTAAATCTAAGCCTTCCACATTTTCTACTTACAGATTGTTACCCACTGCATCTAGATAGTAAGTTTCAGTACAACTTTGTTGGCAAATTGCCACTTAAGTGATTCCAAGTATTCCATGAAGTGGGCCACTGGTTGATATCTATAAATCATTATACATGGCAATTTTCATAGTTCAACCATATATCCCTATTATTTTCATGAATGATACATCACATTCCAATCCATGTCTCTTTAGAAAATGGAATAATCCCCAACGTAATTGTTAATAAACAGTGAGTTAGAGCAAGGTGGACAAAGGCAGTGTAACTTTCCTAAGGTTAACAGTAAAGGCTTGAGCAGAATCAGTGTCAGAATGGGAAAGGAATAAAAGGTTTGAAAGGAAAGATTAAGATGCCTGGGAAGCATATAAAAGGTCTCAAATTTCAAGAATTTAGATTTGACATCATGATGTAATGGGAATGTATGTATTTGTGTGGTAATTATTACAGCAATTGCATAGGACAGAATAGTGAGAGACATCAAGTAGGAAAATTAGGAAGAGAGTTGTAACAAACTAGAAACTGACTTCTTAGACACAGAGCAATGCCTCCAAACCTGTAAGTCTTAGATTTAGGGGTACATCAAGCCAACTAAATGTGGATTTCCTCCCTTAAGAGATTAGCTCCATAATGGGAGAAGACTGCCTTGTGCCCACCGAATACTTTTTTTCTTTAGAACATTATTTAGCATAAAGGTGGCTCTCTAAAAGTATAGTCGAAATCTGAGTGTAAATGCTACTGTAATTAATTAAATAATTCACTTAAGAAGTATTGCTGAATTCCCACAATCTTTTAACACAAAATTTCCAATCAATTAACATAGTCAAGTACAATCATTAGTTCCCACGGCTAGTCTGATAACCGTCTTTCTACATTTAATCCTGCAAGATTAAGAACTACAATCCCAGGATAATAGAGAAAGTAAGTAGAAGACCTCATAGAAGGATCAGTATGACTTAATCAACAGAAAATCCAACAGAACAACTTATCAAGATTGCAACCCGGAAGATCAAAATGTGCTCCCCAAACACGTAATTCTTTCACGGTTATGTAAGAAGGAAATGGCAACCCACTCCAGTATTCTTGCCTGGAGAATTCGATGGACAGAGGAGCCTGGCAGGCTTTTATAGACCATGGGGTCGCAGAGAGTCGGACATGACTGAACAACTCTCACTATGTAAGGTTTTGTTCCCTTTGCCAGATGCTGCCTCTTGTTATCCCTAGAGTCAGCTGAGTGCCAGGAACACATGTACTCACTAAATGTTTGTTAAGTGACTGGCAACTATTTTTCAGCATTATCAAGTTTCATGTGATCTGGAGATAACGATTAGAGGCTGCGAGTGGAATTAGATATAAAATACAGTGGCCCTAACAGTGGTTAAAGTCCCTAAAAAGGGACAAAAGACAAAGGAAGAGGGCATTATAAGGAAGAAGGAAATAACACGCATAGTTGATCAGAGCCAGCAAAAGACAGAAAAGTTTTGAAGGTTTCTCAAATTGTGTCAAATTTAACAAGATGATCAAGAATAATGATCAGGGGGCAAAAGGGCAACTGAAATGGCCTTTAGATCATTGCTGTCATTAGCAACACTGGTTTTAACTGAGCAGCAATTAAAATGATCTGTAATTATGAATCTCATAGGCAGAACACAGATGTATGGAACCCCAAAGCAACTGTGGGCACCTTGGTTTAGATGTCTATTTGGAATTCTGAACTTGGTCTTGGTGCTAAGTACAACTAGAGCCAGCATGACTTTGATTAATACCTTCCACGTCCTAAGTCCCAGCTCTGATACTGCAGAACTGTTTATTCACCAACCATATATACATACATGGGCTGTTACTATCAGTGAACCAATTCCCCCAAAGTTCACAGGCAATCAGAATGCCACTCAACTTTGCTTATGCATGCTACCTACAGGCTTCTTTCTCCAGGAATCAAGGTATGTGGAGAACAATAAGGCAGTAAGTTCTGATTCCTCTATCTTTAATCTACCACCTAGCCTAGGCAAATCATGTTACAAAGTAAAATGGAAACAACAATGTTTGTCTAATACACACACACACAAACAGAAAAATAACAATTGCAGGTAATCAGAATGATGTTAGGGAAAAAAAGGATAATCAATATTACACAAAGCCATGGTTATATATGCACCCAGCATACTTCATGACCTTCCAGCAGCCACTTCAAAGACATAAAAGAGAGCCAGGGAAGGTACAAAACAGGGCAGTTAAGAAGTGTTCACAAAAATAAAGTGGCTTTTACCTTCAAAGAGTAAGAACTCCAATCTGGAAAGAAAGTTAAGATGATAAAATTGAGTTCCATGTAAAATCAAAGTGATTACAGATAAAATACCATAGTCTGGCTCGATTTTATTCAAAGTAACTTAAATCCTGAAACACTCACTGGAAATGTTTTAAAACTGGTAAAAAGAAATCTCTTGTCTCAAAATGTTTAGTAAACTTATGACAAAAGCCTCAAGTACAAAAAAAAAAAGATAGTTAATTGTAAATAGGTTTAAGAAGGTTCAATTGATGAAGGCTACACTAATAGCAATATTTACAAAAGGGGAAGTTTGTCAGTTATTTCAAGGCTATCATTAATCTTACTATCACAACACAAAGTAATTCTTACACTGCTATTTCTTTGAAAATAGTTTTTGACCCCACCCATAGTTGAGCTGGGAAAACTAACACTGTCTATTATTCAACATTTCAAAGGAGCCCAATAACAATTAATGGGTACATAATTGCATAAAGAGTGCATATAGCAAGTAAAAGCCAGGAAGCAACACACACACAGAGGTGGTTAAAATGTGAGCTCTGGTATCAGACCAACCTGGGTTCAACTTGAGACTGGTCACCTCTAGTCAGGAGGCCTTCGACCAAAATGTCTCTGTTTTCACATTTATACTTACTTTACAGGGTTAATTTGTTTAGTTGCTAAGTTGTGTCCAACTCTTCTGTGACCCCATGGATTGTAGCCCACCAGGAAAAGATACTGGAGTGGGTTGTCATTTCCTTCTCCAGGGGATCTTTCCAAGCCAAGAATCGAACCCAGCTCTCCTGCATTGTCAGGCGGATTCTTACCACAGAACCGTCAGGGAAGCCCCTTACAGGGTTAGTAAGTTTAAACTTAAGACAATGACAGCCTGTTGGAAATATTCAACATTGGCTTCTCTGTCAGGTTTGCCTCCGACTGAAATTACAACCAGTTCAATGTGTTAACCTCAGTTCTCTCTTACTAAGAAGTTCTGGCTAGCAATTATAGGTCTTATAACTTAAAAAAAGAAAATGTCCATAGGTGAAAGATAGAGATAATAAGAGTGTATTATCAGATACTAAATTAAGCAGTTTTGTTAAGATGTAACAGAGTTTGAAACAGCTTGACCTCATGAAGGGTCTTATGAATTACATACAGGCAATAGAGAACAGTTATTTTTAGTAAATCCATCCCATTTGAACAAAGCAACATGTGTATGTTGATCTTCAGGGAGGTAAGAAATATTTCAAAGAACTGCTCATTATTTCCATCCTGACCAGGAATTTCTCACCTAAAGGCTTAGTTGTCAGTAAGGGGAAAAAGAGATAAAAACAGAAGGAGACCTACCTTCACATTTGTTCTGTCAGATTCATACGGTCACTCCATCTTTATGTTTTTAAAGTTTGAACTGTATGGTGAAAATTCTTAAAATCAAGTTACTCTGATCATATCCAGTGGATACTAAACTTAATTTTAGTTAAAAAAAAATTCATGATATATACATTTTACAAGCTTTTCTCTCTAGGAGAAATCTAAATCATACACATTGTTCATGTATTCCAATTATAAGCTGAGTATTGTATTACCAGGAAAGAATACCTTTCAAACTTTCAAAGGTGTTTTTTCTGGAAGACTTGATTATTACTAAACAGTAAAATCAGCCCTGAGTAGTCACTGGAAGGTCTGACGCTGAAGCTCCAAATATTTTGGCGACTTGAGGCAAACAGCCAACTCACTGGAAAAGACCCTGATAGCGGGGAAGACTGAAGGCAAAAGAAGGAGGTGACAGAGGATGAGGTGGTTAGACAGCAGCACCGATTCAATGGACCTGCGTTTGAGCAGACTCTGGGAGACGGTAAAGGACAGGGGAGCCTGGTGTGCTGCAGTCCACCGGGTCGCACAGAGTCGGACATGACTTGGCGACTGAACACCACCAGCACCATTTATAAATCTATTATTACCTCTTGGAATCCTCTCTAAATTCTCTGAGGATAATGACTTACTATTTTGTACTTCTAACTTCTGAAACATAAAACAGTGGTTGTAAAATGAATGGAAAACACATCAATTATCAATGCTAGGGACAGACTAGACTTAACCTTTTCAATAAACAGTTGATTTCTAGCTAATTACCTAGATTTGGTTGATAATGTATGAGATGAATCTATTTAATTATATCCCTTCCTTATTAACAGGTTGATCAAGATGTTACTGTACTTTCTGAAAAGAAAAAGAAAAGTTAAATTACTTTTATAATACTTCCCAAAGACAAATTCCAGTATGGGGAATTTTTGGTCATTCCTACTGTAATACTGAAAGCCCATACTACGGAGAAAGCAATTGTGTATTTTGCAGTTTTTTTAAGGCAAAAAAATTCTTATAACTTGAATAAAAATAAATTTTCAATACCACATGTCATGATGAAGTTTCAATTTGGGTTTGCTATTTATTAGATTTAAACATTTCCCCCAAATACCTATTGGTAAACAAGATCACATAAATTACATACTGAGAACTGATGCAAGCATTCAGCTGCTGGAATAGTTACTCAAACTTCTTTCTTCAAGGCTACTGCATGACACATTCATAGACTGAAATACGCTGCCCTAGACAGACTCTCTGGGTAAATTTTAAGAAGCCCTATCATTGCTTTGACCTGCTTTGCAGATTTAAATGTAAAGCAACACAAAAACTGATATACAAATATTAGGTAATATTTCAAATCATTAATAATCATCTAGGGAATAGTCTACACCAAGCAAAACTAATCATGTGAAATTCAGTTAAAGACAGCTAGTTATCTTAGAGCCAGATCACCTGATCAGTTAGTAAGTGCAAGTATGATAAACACAAAGCCTTCAGCTAGTCTCTCATATAGTGTCATGTTAGTGTCACAGTGACCTTAAATTCAGGACTGGTGGATACTGGGAATCCCTGATTCTAATCTGAAATACCCAGTTATTTTTAAGCAATGGACCAAATTACAGAATTCTAGAAGCAGGATACACAGAATTCTAGAAGCAAGACACTGCAGTCCTTAATAGGATTTTAACACAAACACTGGTATCTGTTTACCTATGTACTGTCTTTTTTATATGGCTCAGATTTTCACAAAATAGAACAGCAGAAAAGCCTGAATAATCTAAAGCCATTATTTTTATTAATTTTTAAAGACCATTTTTCTTTTTTATTCAAGAGTGCATAAGGAAAATAGGATCTTCATATGACCAATCTTAGGGCTGAGCATACTGGCTTCTTTTATGTGTCAATTCTGTATTTTGCACACATACCTGCACTCACATATACACACTCACTGAGGTTTGGAAAGTGAAGGCCTTTAACAAACTTTTCCACCATGTCCTTGAAAAACACAGGACTAAAAATCAAATGTTAAACAATGGGGATGGCTCAATATTAACAACACTTTAAAAACACTTAAATACTAGTATAGATCAAACTGTGATGAAGATTAATTTGAATTTTGTGAATAAAAAAAGTGAAATTTTAAAATTTGAAGTCAATAAAAATGTGGCATTTCCTTTTCAAATCAACTGTTTGTAAGTTTGATTAATAAAAAATGGCTCTTCTGGAGACCAAAATTCAGTATGATATTTTGGCCAAAATTTTTATAAATGATGAAGAAAAACAAAACAAATGGCAACTGAACTACCAATATCACTCACACACAAAATGTTAGTAACCTACTTCAATCTAGAACAAAATTACAGTTAACCATTGAACACACATACATTTGAACTGTGCTGGTGTACTCACACGTGAATTTTTTCAATAGTAAACACTAAACAGTACTATATGATCCGTGGTTGGTTGAATCCAAGAACACAGAATGGCCATATATGGAGGAACCGTGTATAAGTGAATTTTTCACTACAAGGAGGGTTGGTGCCCTAACCTGTATTGTTCAAGTATCAATGCTACTTTGAATTCAAATTAGGTTGGTTTCATTTTAGGCAGAGGTTAAAGACCTTTAAAGTAAACACAGAACTAAACATTTAAGTCTAACCTGACATTATTAGGTCTATTCCTAGCCTAGTGTACACTCGGAGTTCAGGCAGAACAGGGTTTGGATCCTGGCTTTGCCACTTTATAGGTAGTGACCACTAGCTATCCACAAAATATACTTAGTCTCGGAGTTCCTCATAGGTATCACAGGTAAAGTAGGGACAATATCACCTACCTTAAAGGGCTGTTGATTACATGACACACACAGTGATTCCTTAGCACAACGCCTGGTAACAAGGTATATACCATGTTAGGAGCTTGTAATTAACCTACCATAAAGACGTGCTTGGCAAAAAAGAAACAGCAGAATATTCCTTTCCATACTTCATCTATATTTTTTTCTTTTTAAAAATAAAGTTCTGGAGTTCAAAGTAAGATATGTTACCAGTTATCAAGGACTACTACCTCCACGTCTCTATCTAAAAATGGATACACCTGCCATTTCTATTCTTTGAATTTCCCATCTGATGATCTTAATCCATTTGAAAAATTATTTTTCAAGTCATCTGCAACAATTTTCTTTCTTAATCTGCTTTTTTATCACCAAAGGTTTACTTTGATCTGATTAATGAATGTTAACTTTTTAAAGTCAGAAATTTAAAAAAAACCACCAAATGGGTGCTCTTTGTGACCTGTTAGCCTTTCCTTTCTGATCTTTCAGAAGTTATTTTTATCTTTTATGACTTGTATCTGTTTTCTGATCTAATTCCTAAATAAACATGCCATGACACTTCCTCTGAGATTTAAGTATTTTTTTGCTTTTTCCTTATTATCTTCCATCAATTCCCTAAAACTATTAATGCCTGATTTTCTAAACTCATTTCATTTTCTTGCAAAGTAAGCTATTAACCTTTTCTTGGGGTCCTAAACACTATTAACATTTGTGGTGACTGTTAAACGTTTTTAATCTCCAACTAGATCCACTGAGACCAACTAGTCTATAAATCATTATAAACATCTGCTGTTGCTATCTTTTTCTACTAAGGTCTACTCTCTAACAGCCCCAACCCAAATGTAAAATGACCTATGACCTTGCTATGTATTTAAGGTGTATTTAGGGACACTGGCACAACCGAGAAGCATGTTAGAAGTCTCTTGCTCCATCTCAAATTACTGAATCAGAATCTGCATTTTAAAAAAAATCCCCAGGGATTCCTATCCACATTAAACTTTGAGAAACACTGATGAATGGTGAAGCTGTGACCTAAACAGTTTAACTAAAAAGTTAAAATAATTACCAGGTCTTTCAAAATTACTTTGATAAATGCAACAAATGGTCTCATTTATCATTTTCCCCACATTTGAAAAGTCAAGCAAAAATGATATCACAATTAACAAGCAAACTTATCTTTACAATTTAAAAAGACATCTCAATAACAATACTGCTGGTTGTATTTAAATTCAAATAGACCAAACTATTTTCCACACCAACTCCACAGAGGTTATACTTAAATATTATTAATCTGTTAAGGTTATACTTCTTCATGGGAAGCATGGAAAGAAAATTTCAATGATATGCAAATGCTAAACATACACCATCTAACTAAAAAGTATGCCCAAGTTATTATGACCAATGCAACAGAGGTACTTGAATGATAACATATAAACATACATTATAATCAATAGGCTCAAATAAGAGATTATTATCACTTATTATCAAGATTTGTCTTGATAATGTTTTTCACCTTTTTCCCCCACAAAATTTTCAAAATAGTGACTTAGGTGGTAAACAGTAACGGCCTTTTAAAATATATTAACCTCTGCTTAATCTATTTAAAAATCCAGGTAACGGAAATTTGCAGACTTAAAGAAGTTCTGGCCATAGATTGAAATTAATATCCCAAGAACACGTGTACAGGAACATCTGTGTTGCCAACTAAAAACTGCTCAGTATATGAGACCTTTAATAATGCAGTATTTTCATATTGAAGGAAGTATCTTTCTCTCTACATGTCTAAGGCCAAGCTCTTTTACCAATGTTACTAAACTACTGATCCTCATCTTTAATCCTGCAGAGAAAATTTTTAAGTGATCAAACCTCAGGCTATTTTAAAAGGCATGGCAGAAACCACTACAATACTGTAAAGTAATTAGCCCAAAACTAATAAAAATAATTTGAAAAAAAATAAATAAAAGGCATGACTAAGTTATACAACTTTATGACTAATTTAACCTCTTGTCCTCTTAAAAAATGGACAGCTAGGTCTAAAATTGACCCTTGGGGGATTTTAATAATGGAATAGAACAGTAGTCCTGTTTATAAGTTTTTGAGGAAATGTCTATAAATGACTGTGATTTCAGTCATAAATTCCAAGTCTAAATAAACAGCAATGTGATTTCTTTCACATCAATAGGAAGATATTCCCTTATGTGAGAAAAACATGGGAGTTTCCCAGGCGGACTCTAGTGGTAAAGAATCTCCTTGAAAATGCAAGAGACATAAAAGACTCAGGTTGGATCCCTGGGCCGGAAAGAGGGCTTGGCAACCCACTCCAGTAATCTTGTCTGGACAGTCCCCGTGGACAGAGCCTGGAGGGCTACGGTTCATAGGGTTGCAAAGAATCAGACACGACTGAACCTACTTAGCACCCACGCAACAGTGTATTTCAAGTGTTTTGAGGGGTTTCCCTTGTGGCTTAGCTGGTAAAGAATCTGCCTGCAATGAAAGATTGTGATTTCAGTTATAATTTCCAAGTCTAAAAAGAACTGTGATTTCTTTCACATCAATAGGAATAAGTGTGAATAAAATATACTCCACAAGAAAATACTTAATAAAAATCTTATTTCTAAAAATAAACTAGTAAATTCAGGGCTTTAGGTAGAGAAAAAAAGACACCAATAGAGCCTAAGCTTAAAATGATTGTCAACCAACCTCTTTTTATTCCTGGAAAAAATACACCACAAACCAGTGAGCTGCATCACCCCCACCCCAACCCACCCCAGCCCCAGCTCTGCCAGTACTTAAAGGTGCCCAAGTTTAGGTACTTTTGCTGTCAGAATATTCCTTA